GACTAGGGCAGTCGTGTTTTCGGGACAATCGGAGGGAAGAATTTGCTCTTTGCCGGTTACGCATAGGCCACATGCATGCTACGCTCCGTTACCTGCTATTGGCTGACAACGGACCATGTTGCATTCGGTGCCCTGGCCCTCGGACCGTGCATCACGTACTGGTCGCTTGCCGTCACCTTACTGCAAAGAGAGCGCAGTTTTTCGGACACTACGTCCAGAGTCGCACGCGATGTGACTTTTTAGGGGATTCTTCGCACGCTGTGGAGTTTGGTAGAGCGTTCCAGTTTCTTCGCGCTATAGATTTCCCAGTAATCTTTTCATCATGATGATAGGCCTGATCATCAAAGTTTTATAGGGTGACTTGATTGATGCACTTGCCTGATTGGCGGCTCTGCATAAATTGATGGTTGTGGGCGCTGCATGACCTACAGCAGTCGATGCGCCCCAAACCCCAAATCATCATCATAGATGGCCGCGCTCAGCGCCCGTCTTATCCCGCGGCGCCGCCCGTCGTCCGGTCATGGCGCTCGCGTGGCACCCATTTTTCTCCGTTCGTTCCGCTGTTGCTCGAGGCTGCGCCACCTGAGAACTATGGGCAAATGTTTGGCGTCAGTCTTCTAAAGCCAGCGCTGAGTGGCTTAAAGACGGCCATGCGATGATCGATTCGTGCGTCGTTGAGGGTCGTGCCTTTTCCACAGCGTTGCCCTTATTTTGGCACTCGCATGCCGTGCCGCTCAGGCATGGCTATTTCTGTGCAATCGGACCTCCGGTGCAGTTAGCCGCCGCGGCTAGATCACTTTTGTTGGAGCGGTAAGGTGCTTACGGTCGTGCTACGGGTGGTGAGCCTCGGTCACGGTACAGATCGTTCTCACCTGCGGCGCGTCGGCGGCGACGAGGCTGACGCCCCCGCGGCGGGCTCGGAGTGCAGCGCCGGGTGCGGCCAGTGCGCCACCGCCGCCGCGGACGGGAGTCCTCAACGCGGGCCTTCAGCGCAGGCCTGCCGCGCCGCCGCCGCCGCCGCCCCCCCCCCCCCCCCCCCCCCCCGAGGCGCTGCCCGTCGCCGGCCGGCCGACGGCGTGCGCGTGCCACGGCCGGAAAACGCCTGATTGCAGCCGCTGGTTTTAGATTAAGTTGTTCGGCCGTGGCCCCGCGGGATCGATGACGTCAGACTTGCCGCGCCTCGGCCGCCTCCGGCCGTAGAGGCGGATCTAAAAAGGCACTATTCCGCGGCTCGCGGGCGCATCCTTCTCGGTCAAGGGCGGCCTGCTGACAGCGCGCGACGGAAACGCGCCGCTTGTACGCCAGCTTATTTTGTTACGCGAGCGTTAGGTCCCGGCACTCTTCCATACGCGTGCTGAAACCGGCTGAAAATAATACGTTCACATCCGGTTCCACCCAGGGAAACCCCTCGCCAGGGTGTGACCGCGACCCGGCGCGCACATCGGCCATTTGAATGTCGGAACAGGGAAAAAGAGAAACCGGCAGGCATGGTTTTGATCGGATCATTTGAAACTATTGGTCAGTTTTGATTCGTTGTCTTTTGTTCCCTTGGTTTCCAAGATTATCGATAATCCGCATGACGTCTGTGGAACCTTGCCGTTGCCGCTTGGACCGCACTCTGCTCTGCATCGGTCTTCTCGTCATTCGACGAAGAGGCGTTCTTCGCAACGCTGGGAATGTGTCCATTCTTCAAACTTCGGTAGGCCTCTGCAGTTCCCTCGAACGCGTTCTGGTCATCTGCGAATCTGTAAAGGGCATTAAAACCTTCAGATTGATCACATCGACGACCGATCGGAGTGTCATCTCACGCCGTGTGGCCAGAAGTGATCTTTCATGAAAATAATCGGCCATGCAACTATGCATCTATTGCTTTCCAAACGCATGCATTAGTTTTCACCATCACGCTGTTAAATATCCCGTTGGTCATTTTCCTCGGTGGGGTCGGCGGCAACGCGCGTGGAAGGCTGGCGTTTGGTGTGAACACAGCGGACGCATTCAAGTGTGGGTTTCACTGAGAGCCGTGAAGTGGAGACGGAAAGCACTGACCGGTTCACGCAGCTAATGGTCACTGAAACGCTGTACAAGGCGGATATTCGATGCGCGTTCGAACACCGCGGCACTATCGATTACGGAATCGTTTCCAAATCGCCAGCGAAATGAGGGGTCTCTTGCGCCTGGTCTCGGGCGAGGGCTCCACAGGCGATTCCCTCCCCGCTTCTGAACAACGACATGTTGGTTTCCTGGGCCCGACCGCTCGCTCTGCCCGAGATTGTGGCTGGAAATTCAAAATGGTATCGCTCGCCAGTGCTGCCGCGTTGTGGAGCGTTATGCATCTGTTCGAGCTGTCGGGGTCCAGGCTGTCGGTGCGTGGGATTCCACCAGCAGCGGCGATGCTGTGTCGTGACGAAACACTGTTCGGCGGACAGTCTGGAGTTCGAGCTGAGTGAGAGAGCCGCTGTGAGTAGACAGTAATTACAGACAGTTCTTAAAATGGAGGCCGGGACACCTAACCCACAAAAAATTACATAGGATGAGAGGTGCTGGAACAATTCTTTCAATCCTGAATTGACCAAAACATAGTTGATATTCTTCTTTTTGGCACTGATCTTAACAACGTCGAAAGTTTAACATGGTTGAAGTCATCCAGCTACTCGCCATGTTCACTCCTACAACAGTTGACCTCGGCTGGCGGGTGGGGCATCTGCTCGCAATGAATTCTGCTGAGCAGACAGTCGGCGCGTTCAAGGGCTTGGGGCAGTCGCTTACTTCCCGTTTTCTCATTTTTCCGCAGGGTACGAGCTTTTGATCGTGTTCTTGCGTTCATCGGTCGTTACACTAGCCTTTGTTGCAACCAGTTGCGTGACAAATTGCATGAGGGAAGACATCTGGCAGAAAGAGATATACGACCTGACCCAGAATACTGCTGGTGCTTCCCACATATAGAACTTAAAAGCCATTTCAGGTAGGTTCGTTCCCTTACTGGGCAGAAAGTAACACTTGACCTTTCCATTAAGGCACGTCTGAAATGTTGCCCTGCCACCTGGTTTCGGGTCTGAGAATCAGAGCGATGGCATGGGTCACAGTGCTCACCTCGGCAATACTGTGGGCAGTGCGTCTGTTTCGCCGCCAGAAATCGTGACCTATCGCGGTATAACGTCAGTCGTGACGTCAGAGTGCACTGCGTCACGCATCGCGCTGGACACGTCGTGACGCCGCGTCGCTGACGTTTGAGGATTTTAGGGATCTGGCGATAGCCGTGAATATTGCGAACAGCGTCGTTATTTTGAGCCGCGTGTGGTACATTGCCACAGGCACGCCCACTTGGGGCGCTGCTTTGACGGGGTGCAGCGCGCGGCGGGCACTTATGAGTGTTTGGAAAGCGTTTTGGCCTGCCGCGGCGCTTCGGGACCCATCAGCCATGTACGTCGAGCCGGCTATGCACGCTTAGTGCTGCTGACGCAGCTCTCTGAGCGTGCCTTGATGACGAGCTCGGACGGTGCTGAGGTGGCTCTCTGAGCAGGCCTCTGTGACGGGCTCGGACGGCGCTAAGGTGAATCTCTGAGCAGGCCTCAGTGACGGCCTCGGACGACGCTAAGTTGAATCTTTGAGCGTGCATTGATGACAAGCTCGGACAACACTGAGGTGGCTCTCTGGGCGTGCCTTGATGACGAGCTCGGACGACACTGAGGTGGCTCTCTGAGCAGGCATTCGTGACGGGCTCGGACGACACTGAGGTGGCCCTCTCAGCAAGCCTTGATGACGAGCTCGGACGACACTGAGGTGTCTCTCTGAGCAGGCCTCCGTGACGGGCTCGGACGACACTGAGGTGGCTCTTTGAGCAAGCCTTGATGACAAGTTCGGACGACACTGAGGTGGCCCTCTGAGCAGGCAATGGTGACGTGCTCGGATGGCATGCGTCCCGTGGGGAGCAATGGGCGGGCCTGAGGCCGGCCACCTGGCTCCGGGCGCTTCTGGGCGGACGGTGGGAGACGGGGCCGCGGGGCCGTTCCGTCAATGTCTGCCTGGGCAGCGGCCTGCTGATCCGCCCACTCAGCGCAGCCCCCCCCCCCCCCTTCTTTCCGGCCGGGCACGCTGCCCACAGGGGTCGGATGAAGGAGCCGTCACAGTAGGGTGCCGATGGTGTAGCGGTTAACCCGTCTGGGAAACTAGAGATACGGGGTTCGATTTTCCGCGATGCCCGCCCCTCCTGCCAGCGTGAGAAGCAGGCGACACCAAAAGGCCTCAGCAGTGCGGTACGTCGTAAAGCCCCAGTCACACGCAGGAGCCGTCACCCTGACTGGTGGGGAGCCGTCACCCTAGCGCCGGGTGGGGGAACCGTCACCCTGGCGGGCGCCGGGTGGGGAAGCCGTCACTCTAACGCCGGGTCTACTCTAGCCATCACCCTGACGGGTGGGTAGCCGTCCTGGGCGTCCGCCGACCGTCGGACCAAAAAATTACGTAGCGATGAGGTCGTGTTGGTGGTTATGACTCCGCGCTGTTCTGCGAGCCTCGCTCCACGTCGGGAGTGGTCAGAGCCAACGATCGCTTCGCCGTTCTCCCTCCGTCGGGTCTGGCTTCGTTGGTTTTTCATCACTGTCCTGGTGACGCGCGCTCGACAGTTATTGGTAGCTGAAGCTGGCCCGCTCGCGCGGCCGGTGACATGTGGCGGCTGTCGCCCCTCCCGTGAGCTGAGCGCCCTACACGTGCAGTGCCGCGGAGCTGTGTTTGATGCTGTGGAGGTGGTTCGGCTGTCCCGCGTTCGGCCGCCGTTTTGCGAGGCGTCTGCGCGCCGTCGGCTCGCTTCGATACTTCGACGTCGGATGTGTACCAGCTTGTTATACGCAGTATAACTTGGTGTGAACTGGAATGAGACTATGTCATCAGAATTTTGGATTACGGGCTAAAATTCCTTCCTGGTTGGCTGATTGTGTTCGTTTGGTAGGCCTGTGTTGTGCCCGTGTGACCCTAGCCCTTACCTGACGCGCCGCCGCCACCGCCAGCTGTTCAAGGAGCCGCTGGAGGCGGTGGACCAGGTGGGCGGCCCGCTGCTCGAGCCGCCCGACATCAAGATCATCTTCGGCAACATCCCGCCCATGTACGAGGTGCACCAGCAGTTGCGCGACGACCTGGCGCGCATGGCGCACCACTGGCGCGACGAGCTCAGCGTCGGAGAGGCCGTCATCAAATACGTGAGTGGCGTCGGCGCGCGGCGCTGGCCGGCCGTGGGCGCGCTGAGGGAGCTGATGTGGCGCGGCGAGAGTGCTGTGTGTGTGTGTGTGTGTGTGTGTGAGGGTGTGGGTGTGTGTGTGTGTGATAGATGCCCGTTTATCGTGCGAAGGAATGTTGGGGCTGGGTTTCAGTGTTTTCTTAAGTTTTGCGACGCTGATTTTCTGTATACAGGGTGGTGGCTGAAGACTTATCGTTTACAGTTAGGCGTGTATTTATAACAATTGTGATTTCCAAATTCCATCGCCATCGCAATCAATTCTTATCTAAGTTTTACGCCGAGGATCTTGAAAAAATACGGCATTTACAATGTGTTTTACTTTTTTCCAAATACTTCATGTTTGCAATGTAAAGAACGGAATATCAGATCCAGTCCATATGGTCATGTAGTATAGATGCAGGTCGTATAGCTGCACCTTTGAAATCGCATTACATCACATGGGGTTTGTGAAACACTTACGTGACGCATTTTACTTCCTTCCCTTACCATATATTAAGTATTACGAGCCACGATTGCTTATTTTCGCCCCCTTTCTGGGCCGCGAAACCGCAATCTCTGCTCCACGATGAGAAAAATACCAACACCAGCCTATAAAGGTCGGTGGTGAGGCCGTTCTGAGCGCGGAGGCAGTGCCGTGCGCCGCGGCTGGTGGCCGCGCGTGTCCGTCCCACGCGCCGCGGCGCCGCCGGGTCGCGCCGCCAATGGGCTCCGGGCGCCGGCGGCGCGGCACGCCCGCCGAGTGTGCCGTTGGTGCGGCCGCGGCTGACGCAAGGCGCGCCAAAATCGATGCCGTTATCTCCCTGGGGTAATGGCCTGTTCGGATATTAAGACGTGGGATTATGCCGAGCGTGACTGCGGTGCGGCTGAAGCAGGCCGTGTCGGCCCGGCGCTGCAGGGCGAGGCGGGGCGGGCTCCTCGCTGCGGTCCGGCCTCCTGACGTCGGCTGGGTCGAGCCTGGCCGCGGCGCGCGCCTGCCGCTGTCGCGAACTGGCTGCGGCGGTGCGGCGCGTGGGGCCGCACCTGGCGCCGTCGGATCTGCACGGGACGCGTTCGGCGCCGCGGCGGTGCGAGCCTCGTCTCCGCCGGGAGGCCGCAGCCGGCAGCCGAGCACGCCGCCGGGTGCGGCGGCACGGTGACCGGCTCTCGGGAAGCGGCGGCGTCGCCGATGGAGTGGGGGCACGACCTCAAGTGTCGGCCGATGGCCCTTCGGCCGAAGCCGGGCCCGCCCATCTGTCATTCCGTGCCATTGGCCTGCGGCGGGCTGCATTAAGCTAATCCGCCGTTCGGCTACCCGGGCGCGGCGGGCGGCGGTAAAGAGGCGCTGGCTGTGTCCTGCCGGGTCGGGTGGCCGCCGCCGGCCGTCTGCACCATTTGCTCCGGCTGACCTGACCTGGCCTGGCCCGGTCTGCCCGAGACGGGCCCCGTCTGGTCTGGTCTGGGCTTGGGACGATCCGGCCAGCGCTGGCGTTGATAATTGCCTGCTTACTTGTTTTCGTCATGTCCGGCGGTCTGGGGTCTGGGTTCGTTTGCTGGCGAAGACTGATATCGGCGCGTCGACATGCGACCGCCTCCACGGGGTGCTGCGTCTGCCAGCACCAGTGTCCAGCTGGCCAGCGTTACCCCGTTGTGGCGTGTGCCCGCTAACACTGGCTGATGTCTCTCGATCTCCTGTTCAATAGACTGGAAGCCGACCCCCGCCACGTAACACCGGTTGCGGGCACTGAGCGACAAGGTGGCCGGTCGGCCCCGAAGCCGGCGCCGGCCTCCGTCGTGACGCCGTGACGTCATGAGCTGCCGCCGAGTGTGCCCGGCCGTCTGCTCCGCGCGCTGTCCGCGGTCGGTCGGCGTCGCCACGCACCCTCTCCCCACGCTCGGTCGGCTCCGGCCCGGTGCGCATCAGAGCTGCGGGATGTCGGACGTGTGAAGCACGTCCAGCCGTATGACACCCGCGGCTGGGAAATTAACGTGCGATGGCCGCCATGGCGCCGGGCCGTGTATTCGCGACATTACGGCGCGCTCCGCACGGAAAGCCTCCCATTAGCCTTATCTGAAATGGATCTGCGCTTTTAATGAAACTATGTCGCCGGGTTTAAGAGGTGAGGCAGGTGGCGTCGTGACGCCCTGCTGTGGTGCCGGTCCATCGTCGGCGCTGCGCCGCCACGCTGTTCGGCAGGGGGTCCGGCGTGCCGTCTGTCGGGGCGGGCCGCGCCGTCAAACGGTACTTAATGTAGCGGAGAGTCGCCCCCGGAGCTGGCGGGTCCGGCCGCGCCGTGCGCTCGACGGGACGCGCCATCCGTCTCGGCTGTCCGGCCCGGCGCCGGCTGGGCATTCGGCGGCGGCGAGCGGGCGCGCCGGCCGGCTTCGCACCGAGCGCCGCCACCGCCGCCGCCGCCGTCCGGCGCACTTTGTAAACAGGCGCTATCGATTCGGCCGCGGCGGGCGGCGTCTGATCTTCATCGGCGGCGTCGGGCGGGGCGTAACGGGGACACGGTGAGGTACGGGGTGGACCGGGGACGTCGAGCGGGTCAGGGGAGGACCGGAACCGCTGGGTCAGGTCGAGGCAGGGTTGGAAGCCTGGGTCAGGTCAGGAGAGGACCGGAAACCCTGAACCGGTTGCCTGGTCCAAATCGCGGATGACCAGGAATCTTGGCCGGGCCCTGGGAGGATGCGAACTCTCGGCCAGGTTGTCAGCGGCCTGAAACCTTTGGTGAGAGATGGACGACGAACCTCGGGCAGGCCGTGTTGGACCGGGACCCGGTCTGTCAAAAGTCGGGGAACTCACAGCGCTGCAAAGAAGATAACCCGTGACAAACGAGCCTTTTTGGGTGCTGTCATCAACAGGCATTCGACTCATCCTGCGCGATTGTTGTAGAATGTGCCACCTGTCCATAAAGACAATAATGAATCAAAGACATTCCTAAACTGTCCGCCGTTCCTGGGATTAATGGCCGCGGCGCCAGGCTTATCTGTCCGCCCTGTTGCTGCGCCGATCCGACTCAACAGAGGTCGGCGTAGGCGTGCCATTCACCGCGGCGGCGAAGTGTGTCAGGTATATCGTTAGCGATACACATTGCGACTTATTTCACCAAGCATGTCGCTCGTTTAAAATGTTCGCAATCTCTGCATGATAATGTAGCTGCCTTCAGTTATCTGTCAGATGAAGCTGATCCCAAGAGAATGTTATTAATGTTCCGGATTTTCTGCTTTTTGTCCGCTGACTGTGTGTCAGTTGCATAAGCTAGAAGACCCGGCATTAGCGTAGTGCCCAAGTGAGCTCCTGGTCTGATCCTGGCACTTGACAAACAAAGGCGTCCATGGCCTTCCACTCCGAACGACCCACTCTATGGTAGTGTCGTTCGTGGTGGTCTGACTGCCCAGGATCGAATCCGCACAAGTGGTCTGTCTGCTCTGGTCCTCCAGGTGACTTGTTGGTGGCGTGGTCTATGTGCGGAATGTCGTATATTAACATCGCCCTGCTTCGCCGTCATGTCTTCGAGGCGTCTCGCGGTTCGCTGCCGTCCTCGCCGAAGATCAGCTCAGGAAGGGACCACCCCTACCGCCGGCGGTCTGCAAGCGGCCGCACGCCGACCCCCGTGACCTGTGCTGACCAGCCGACGTCCGGCAGGGTGACGAGCTGATGCGCGCCTACCCGCCGTTCGTCAACTTCTTCGAGAAGTCGAAGGAGACGCTGGTGCGGCTGGACGCGTCGCGGCCGCGCTTTCACGCCTTCCTCAAAATCAGCCAAAGCAAGCCTGAGTGCGGCCGCCAGACGCTGCAGGAGCTGCTGATCCGACCCGTTCAGCGGCTGCCCAGCATGATCCTGCTGCTCAACGGTCAGTGCGCCACCGTCGCCGCCGCCGGGCCGGCGTCCGAGCGGCGAGCGGCTCAGCCGGCGTCGGTGCCGCTCCCGGAAGACGGTCGCCAAGGCTGGCCGTGTGTCGGTTGCCAGGCTGTGCCGGCTGCGGCCGCCGTGGCTCGGTGCGGTCGTCAGGTGCGGCGGAGCCGGCTGACGGCCGGCTGGTCTGGAGGCGCTCGGTCGCCGCGCGCTGGACGTGGTCGGCGCCGCGGCCGGCCGGGCTGCTGTCGCCTCGCGTTTGGCCGGCCGGACGCGCTCACAAAGAGCGACCGAGCCGGCGACAGCGCGCGCCGTCCGCCGCCGTGATTCGATCCGACGCCATTGGCGGCCGGGCGGCCACTGGGGCGCCGCCGACGCCGAGACGGAGCGAAATTCGGTGGGTTGGAGAGCGCTGTCGTCCGTGCTATGCTTGCCCTCCCACGGGCGTTATTGACGCTTCGAGATGCGAGGGGTCCGCGCGGGCTCCAGCCGGCGCATCAACGCGTGGGCGGCGTGCTCACTGTTGATATTGCGCGCCAGGCTGCGGAAGTCCTCTGTCCATGAATGCGTCTGGCACGCCGGACTGCCTGGACGCTGCCATTGTGTGCTGTGGCGCGCGCCAATGCGCCACTCCGTCGTCCATTGGCGGCCGCGGGCGGCCGGCAGCGCCATTAGCTGCGGTCGGCCGGCCACGCAGCCACCGGCTCCACGCCGACCCGGCCCCGTCGCCCCGCTGACGGCGGCGCCCGGAGCCGACGGGGCACCGGCCACGTTCCTGTCCCGTAAAGATGTTGGGCGCGCTAGTGATTGCGGCTGGTGTGCCGTTTAAGCGCACGCCGTCGTCTGCAGCTGCGTTACTCGTGTGTGGTGCCGGTTCGGGTCGGCAATGCTGCGTGGCCCCAGCCTTGGTCCTGACCGGTGGCGACGCTGTGTCGCGCCGCAGATCTACTGAAGCACACGCCCAAGAGCCATCCGGACCATCAGAGGCTAGAGGAGGCCGTGGCCAAGATCAAGGAGGTGATGACGCACATCAACGAGGACAAGCGACGCACCGAAGGGCAGATGGCGCTCTTCAACATCTTCAACGACATCGAGAATTGTCCGGTGGGTGCTGGCGCCCGCCCGGCCTCCGGGATGTTAGGGTGCGATGCGATGGGATGCAGGTGGAAGTCGCAATGTGAGGCTGTATTCCCAAAGGCGAAACACGAGTTCTCTGATGGCTTAGAACCTGTGACTGAGTGCGATCTGGCCCACAGAATTCTGCTGCTGACCAGCAAGCATGCGACTGTCCAGCTGTAAACACAATGATGTGTTGGCTACATTCGAAGCACTGACTTATTTTTGGGTAGCAGGTTAGAGTGACTCAGAGAGAGAGAGAGAGAGAGAGAGAGAGAGAGAGAGAGAGAGAGAGAGAGAGAGAGAGAGAGAGAGAGAGAGAGAGAGAGAGAGAGAGAGAGAGAGAGAGAGAGAGAGAGAGAGAGAGAGAGAGAGAGAGAGAGACAGAGAGACAGAGAGACAGAGAGACAGAGAGACAGAGAGACAGAGAGACAGAGAGACAGAGAGACAGAGAGACAGAGAGACAGAGAGACAGAGAGACAGAGAGACAGAGAGGGGTATATATATATATATATATATATATATATAAATTGCTAGCGTCGCCTAAGTGCGTCATTTATGGTTTGCTGTAACAGCGACTATGCCGTCTATATTGCGTTCTTCGCGTGCCATTCTTTCCGAACCTACGGCGACTCCAGGCTGCATTGTCTGGGCGGAGCTCTGACGCAGCGCGCGATACCGGGCTGTGTCGTGACAAGGCAACCGACCGAGCCTCCGTCCGCCCGCCGGCTGCCGCGCGCGCGGCGACGCGCCGCTCTCGGCCGCCGCTGGGGCAGCGGGCTGCGTCGGGCCGCCGGCCGCGCCCGGGTCGTGACTCAGACCGACGCGGCGCGTCCGTAACCTTCGCCACCGCTCTGCTCCGGCGACGGGCCGGTCGTGGAGCGCATTAGCGTCGCCGGGGGGTCGCCGCTCGGCCGGCACCACCGGCCAGAGACGGGCCGGCGGGCGCGGGCGCCGACGGGTCGCCGGACGTTTATGGGTGTGTTCATGTCACTGCCGTCGCGTTTCGTTCCCGCGAGTTGGCGAGACGGACGAGGCCGTTGGGAGCTCGGGGTGCCCGGCGCACTGGCGGTGGGAGAGGTGCCGGCCGCTGGTCTGGTGAGGCCCGGTTGGTCCAGGTCCACGTGGGCCCGATGCAGGTAGCCTGACGCGTCCCAACCTCGTGTGCCGACAGCTCTAAGCACAGCGCATCAAGTGATGTTTAGCGTAGGGCTTGGTTACAATACCATCTTGGCCAACATACCGCCAGTTCCAACCACAGCACATCAAGTGATGCTTGGCATACGGTCCGATCACAATGCCATCTTGGCCAGCATGCGGCGCAATTTGCATTGAAACAAAACGACGTCATCGAAACGTTCCAATCTGGAATTAAAACATAAAAACAACAAACACGCATTGAGCGTATGACATTAGTGTCCTTCTTGGTTCTAAGATGGACCAGCCGGTGCCCGGGAGCCCGCACCGCAGTCAGGCCGGAGCTGGACATGTGGCCCTCCTCGCCGCCGCGTTAGCAGCGCCCTGTTCTGACGCGCCGCCGGTCCCGCCGCAGGCGCACATCGTGTCATCGCACCGGGCGTTCGTGGCGCGCTGCGACGTGGTGGAGATCAAGGGCGACGGGCTGAGCGGCCGCGGCGACCACCTCATCATGTTCCTGTTCTCCGACATGCTGGAGGTGAGGTGGGCTGCCGAACTGCAGGCGGCTGCTGGTGGGCGGATCGGGCTGGCCGCCGTGCCGCAGGTGAGACCGCGTGTTTCAGGTGCTCCCAAGGCTTCGTTGCGTTTGCCGTGTTTGTGTGTCGTGTCGTGTTCGGCCGTGACGTCACCCCGGCCGCCCGTTGCGTCTGGGGCTCAGCGGGGCGAAGCCGGTCCGCCAGCCCAGGCACCCCAGGCACCCCAGGCACCCAGGCACCGGTCCTCATCCCCTCGGCCCGCCGCGCACCACCGGACGCCCGCTCGGCAGCAGAGGCTCGCCCCCGATCTGAGTTCGGCGCCGTTCAAAGTCGTACCCGTCCTGCCGCGCTCCGGCCTCTTGGGCGTCCCCTCACGACCGGGCCGTCGAGCTCTCCGGCAGCGCCGCTGCACGTGCCGCCCCCTCTCCCTTCCCACTGTGTCCCCCACGCTGCTCGTGTCCCGGCGTCCCTGGTGTCCCTCCAGGGCGGGTGCGCCCGGCCGCCGCCGCGTCCGACGACGTGGCGATTGTAGTCGTCCGGCGGGGTCGGCGGCCGGCACAGCGGCGCTGGAGCGGCACCAGCCAACCGCCGCCGCCCCAGCTGCATGCCGAGCGGTCGGCCACAGCCTGTTCCGAGCGCCCGCCCGCCCGGCCCGGTCCGAGCGGCGGCTACCGCTGCTCCCCTGGCGGGCAGCGTGTCCGGCGTCCGGTTGGAAATGACGGGCTGTGGCACAGATTTGCTTCGGGAGACTGGCGCTCTTAATTTTGTGGGGTGATGGAAGAATCGAGGCGTTACCGTCGGCTTACATTTAGTCTCATCTCGTGATGGTGGTGAGTCGTGTTCTTGTTCATCGGAACGCCGGAAATTATGTCACATTGAGCTATGCAAATGCGGCAGCATCAACTCCTCGCGCAGTTGCGATCTCCGCCCTCACTGGATCGGCGAGGATGTTGGTCCGAGCAGCAGATTTTCCGTTGTAAGATATTTCGGCACTTTTCACCTGCATATTTTGTACTTTTATCCGTCCATGTGCAGCGAGAAGGGTTTCGTGGATAGCGGTGATATGTTACAGCTATCCTTAAAAACGATGCTGGGAATACAGAACGCATATAGCGTTGCTCTTGGGCGTTACTGCGCGGCACGGGTGGTACAGCTCGTGCGTTTCCCAGTACCGTTTTCGCCGGAGGGTATTTGTTTGCGCCCTCCCAGGAACTCGGGGTATCCCTGAATGAGACGGCGGGCCGTCGCGGCGCGGTGCCGCCAGCTGGCAGACGAGCCGGCAGCGGGCCGAGTGGTCCCAGCGCCGCCCGGCGACGCGGCCGTGATGGCGGTGGGCGAGGCGGGATCGGGTCACCCCGTCGCCTGCCCCGCGGGAGCCGCCCCCGTCCCTCACCTCTGCTCGGCGGTCTGGTGGGCGGGCGAGAGAGGCTGCTGGGCGTGTGCCGGACGTGCCGTCTGTACTTGTCCCGTCTCGTCTGCTGCTTCTGCCGATGTGCTCTGGAGGCTCTAGTAGCGTGGTATTTCACGCGAGTCGTGCTTTCCGCATGCGTTGCGTTGGTTCTTGTGCGGTGTACTTGTCCATCCACCAGCAAGTGATCGCTCGCCTTCCATAGACGTTTTATCCTGTTTTGCATTCTCCTCTGGTGTTCATTACAGCGTGTTGCTGAGTAATTATTGTGCTTTTTTGTTGCACGCTGTATGCTACATCGACTCTAACGGGTGCTATAGAACCAGGTAGATGCAGCGCCTCGAAGCTGAGCTCGAAATTCACACGCTCTTTAAACACTCCGCGACTAACTGACACCTTGTGGGCCGTAATGCGGGTCGTTTGGGAAATTGGGAATTGCCGCTCATTCCGGCTCGCACTAATGCAAGCATGGTTGCGGTCTTTAGAGATGGCCTCAACGGCGGGGGGCGATTTAACTACAAGTCAGTTCTGCTAATCCGTCCATCTATCTGCGGGGGCCTCATTCCGCCGGGTCGATCGCCAATTAATGCGAGCCATCTTTCGCGCTGTTAAAGTCCCGCGCCCGCGACCATGCAGCTCGCCGGTGCGAGCCGTCGGTGTGGATGCCGGCATGCCACCAGGCGTACCTTCGTGACTTTCGGGGCGTGCGGTCCCTCGCCGAAATCCAACAAACAACGCTCCGAGGAGTTCGATCGGGCCTTGGGTGTGCCGGAGCCTCTGTGGCGCAGGATTGCTGTGCGGGCGGCCGCCTTGCGCCCGGAGCCGGACCGGCCGCGCTCGTCACGTCCGGGTCCGACGCCGCCGCCTGGGGGCGCCGCTCGAGGCGGAGGTTGGACTGCCGGCGGCGGTCGATGTCCCGCCCACGCGGTAGCGGTACGTGCAGCGGCGCCGTCACGCCGTCACGAGCCGTGCTCGCGCCTGTTGCGCCGTCGGTCGCGCCCTGTCGGTACGCGGCGCACGCGGTCGTTATCAAGCCCGCCTCGGCGCCGTCTCGCCGTTGGTCTCTGACGTCTCGCCTTGTCGTCCCGTGACCTGGCCGGTCCCAGCCCCGGTGTGTCGTCCGACTCGACAGCGCCGGGTGGGCGGGACGCCCGTCCGGAGCCCGCCCTCACCCCGCCGCGCTCCCCGAGCCGCCCGGCTCTGCGCCGTCTCCGACTGATTGGCTCCCGCTCAGATCCAGCCGGGATCCGTTTTTGTTTTTGTTTTTCGTGGCGTTCTCTCCGGCGTAATCAAGAGCGACGCTCTGCGGGCTTGGCGAGAGCCAGCGCCGTCGGTCGTCTCTAAGTGGACAGAGTCTTTGTGGACGGTTGAGCGTCGGCTGACGGGTGCCGGCCGCTCCTTCGGAAAAGGCCACCGTCGGCGGCGAGCGGCGCGCTGGGCGTTTACCCGATCGAACCGGGCCGGGTAGGGGCCGTGCCAGCAGCCGGGTGCGGTCCGACGCGGGACTGTGGGCCGCCGACGTCGGGGTCGACCGGGGTCACCGACGGCCGACGAGTCCACAAGAACCGCGTGGGGTCGCAGCACTTCTCCGGAGGTGACGTCACAGTCTGCGTCGGAGTGGCGTCACACATCGCGTCAGAGGTGACGTCACCGCTGCTGCGGGGGCGAACCCGCCGGCGGAGGTGAACGTTGTTTCTCGAGGGTGCCTCTCGGACAGCGGTATGCTAACCTTGCCTGCTCGACCCGCCCCGCCAGCGATGGACTTCTCGTTGGCGCGTTTGGTGTGTTTGCGATGGCTCGTTCTCTCTGTTGTTCACAGTTGACTTCTAATTGTGAAACATTCAGTAATCTGCTCATTCAGAAGCTTCCGAAGTTGACTTAAAAACATTCATCAGCTCAAGCATCCTCTCGAGCGAGAGACACAAAGCGTCAGCTCCCAGTGGGGTGCCAGCGTGATGTGCGCGACGGTCTGTGCCAGTCGCGCTGTCGCGGCTCCTGCCTACTGCCGGCTCCCGTCAGCGGCCTGTAAACCACCTGGAGCGGAAACGTGACGCCCCAGTGACGGCTGACGCAGCCTCCGTCCGTGCGCTGGCGCGGCGGTGTCGCGGGCGGCCCGGCCGCGCGCTCGTGCCGGGACGGGCGGGCGGTGCCCGGCCGGCGTCTGGGCCACGTGACGGACGAGGTGGGCCGGGCGCCGCTCCGGCCGCGCCCTGAATAGCCGCGCCGGCGGCGGGTTCCCAGGGGAGGCGTGCACCTGCCGGCCGGCGGCGCCGCGTGCCCCGACGCCGCCGGCTGCGCCGGACTGTCGCGTCGCCGGCCGCCGCCAGGAATACCCTCGCCGGCGGCTATTTCTGGCGGCGGGCGCGCGTCGCCGCCGGGAATAGCCGACGGCGCGGCGAGGCGGGCGCCGCCCCGTGCGTGGAGAGCGATTGGCTCGGACGCTGGCGGCCGGCGGAGATGCGTACCGATCGAGCGCGGGCCGCCAGAGCGCCGGCCGAGCCAGCGACCAGGAAGCGCGCGCCGCGCTCCTGGTCGCGCCGCGCCAGCCCCGTCGCTGTCACCCCGGGGAGACGGCCAAGACGGGCGCTGTAGTTAATTTGACGGGGCGTGTCGCCAGGCGTCGTCGGCCGGCCTGGCTTGGTCCTGACGGCTGATGTTCCCGGTCAGCCGCGCTGCGTGTGTCCCGCTGGAAATAGCCGACCGTTGGCGTGCTAGCGATTTTGGGAACGTCCGTCGGCTGTCCGAGATGTGGGGACCGCTGTAATATGTTCACGACTTGACAAGCTGCGGTCAGGGCGGAAGGTGGTAAGCGAGGTACGTGAATTATCATGGTTTCTTGTAAACCGGTTCAGATGCTTAGAAATATGGCTAGATGCAAATAGGTACTGTTACAAAAGTTGATGACGGCTCTCGAATTACGAAGTGACTGACATCAAAGGACTGAGAAGGCCGACATTTTGTCTTATGCACTGCGAGCGTCCCGCGGACAGGTGCTCTTTTAGAGATAAAGCTCTAGAAGAGCATGTTCCGCGGTCTCGATGAGATTGGCTCAAACATTGCTGGGCGGCCCGGACAGATGCATTAAGCCAGCGGCGCCGGAGGCAAGCCCGGCTGTCGGCGTTATAACGCGCGGCGTGGTCCATGTTTAAAGCCGGCATATGTAAGTTGCAGGATCGAGGGTCGTTTGGACGGACGCGATCGCGGCCGAGCCGCTTCGTGGTCGTTACCGCCGCACTACTGGTGGTCAGGTCCGGTCGCTGCCCGGCTCTGAACAGAAACCACCGAGGCGTGACGGCTAATGGCAGCGAACCTCCGGCGCGCTAAAACGCTAGCCAGCTGTCCAAGTGACGCGATTCGCAGCGTTTCGGGCGTGATGAGCTGGTAGTTCCGTCGGCTAGAGCAGTGTACCGCTTACCGCTTACCCTTACCGCTTGAAGGCACTGTTCCACTATTGATTCCAATATTTGAATATATTGAATTGCAAGGGTCAGATATGCGAAATAAGCCCACTCGTGACTGTTGGTATGCTTTTAAGTGGAACAGACTACTCTAGACAATACAGTTTTTCTAGTTGGTAATTATGCCCTTCAATACGTCATTGCTTTATTGCTTCATGGAACTTCTGTATGACGTTGAGGCGCTGGCAAACCAGCCGTGCGAAATTGCCACCCTAGCACTCACATGTAGTACTTCAACTCGCATAGAGATGGCAGTGGCGCTGAAGCAAGCATTCGCTGGGCAAAATGCCGTTATGTGGTCGTGTTTTGGCTCTTTCTCGTGGTGTTCTTGCTCTTGTTTAATATGTCGACATGTCTTCACATGCCCGATTGTGGCGATATTCGTAAGCTGTTCGATTAAGTCTCATTTTCGTAATAAGTAGCAACCATGCACAACTTTCTATAGTATGTAGCACAAAACGTGGTTCGTGATTGGATCTTGCACAGCTTCCTCAACATGGACTGAGAGCCAGTTGATGTCCACAAGATTTGGGAGTCGTGCTCACGGACGCCAGATCTGAACGGCTGGACTGTAATGTTCTTGGCGGGGTGCCGGTAGTGTAGTGGTTAACGCGCCTGTGTTAACCACTGCGCGTCTGGGAAACCAGAGATACGGTGTTCGATTCCCCCCGGTGTCCGCCCTTCCTGCTAGGGTGAGAGGCAGGCGACGCCGTGTAGCCTCAGCAGATGAGTGCGTCGTAAAGCCCCAGCGACACACAATGTTCTTCTTGGCCCTGAACGCCGCATGACCAGTGGTTGACAGGATTTGAATGACATTGTTATGGCGTCATGCATGCCTGCACGGCCTTGAAGTAGTGCACAAGAAATAGTCTGCACATCTTCGCGGGCGTATAGCTCAACAACTAGAAGGTTTTTTTTTGTCTTGAGGGCCGGGCTGTGAACTGCCCCGAATGATCTTCAACATGACTTTCGGTTCAAAGCCCCATACAAATGTGGAATATTCCCTGTAAGCGGATTTTGATATCTGAGCTGTCCAACCTGTCTGACCAGTCCCGCCGCACGGACGGACGACTGTGTTCCGAATCGACGCACGTAGGAAGCCCGTTGGCATATGAAACTCACCGTGAGTGTTGTGCTTTTTTTTGTTGTGTTTTTAATTGTAGGTTGACTGCTTTTTGCACGCCCGGGCATGGCGAACCCAATGTTTGGAACTACAACGTGGCCCCCGTGAAATGCGCGGGGCGAGTTTCGAACCCGCGGCGCTAACGGCACCTATTGGCCGTGCCCAGATCAACTCGCAACGCCATGGATGGAGCCGCGTTGGTCGCGGGTGCACCAGCCGTCGGGCGTCGGCCGGTGTCAGTGTCGTCACCGGCCGACGGCGGTGCCGTGCCGCCGTCCCCGCTCTCACGCCGGCCGGGCTAGGTCGATCCGACGCCGCCCTCAACCGGACGCTGTTTAAACAGCGGCCGGCCGCGGCGATCTCGAGGATCGCGCTGAGTAAACGAACCGTGCCGAGAGGCGCGCCGGCCACGGCCAGGGAGGCGAAGGCCGGCGCCCACACCGTCCGGAGCCCGTGGGGACTCGCTGTGTGGACCGGTGGAGGGGCCGCTTTCTCGGTGACCGCCGGGAGGCGGTGGCCGGCGCCGACACCATCCAGAGCCCGTGGGGACTTGCTGTGTTGATGGCAGGGAGCCGCTTTCTCGTGCTCGCCGGGGAGGCGGAGGCCGGCGCCAACACCGTTCGGAGCCCGTGGGGACTCGCTGTGTTGACCGGTTGGGAGCCGAACCCTACCGGCGCGTCCCGCCAGTCGCTGGGTCATGTGTCACGCGCCAGCTGGCCGCAATGCCCGAATGCAATGCTGGGCTGGAAAAGAGCTGACGGTGAACGGAGGCAGACGGAATAGCGATTCGATTAATTGTGCAATAGGTATACGGTCTTCAGAACTGGGATGTGGTCCATGGACGCAGCATAACGGCGAAGTAGTTGAGATGTGACGTCGGCGAACGTTCGGGTCTCAAAGGCACTGGCGCCGTGCTGTAGCCCTCCCCGATCCCGCCAACAGTGCGATCCTCTGCGAGTAGCTCAGAAATCACGCGTAAAAACGGTTGGAATAACAGTTGAGGTGCGATGATCGACAGGGCTGTTTTTGCTCATAATGAAAGCCACGTGATTAAGGTGTGAGTTTGCGGTCGTCACATGCGGGAATGCTCTCCAAACCATTGCCAGACCTTTCTCGTTATGTTCTGCACCGGGATCGTGTTCAGTCAGTCTTACTTTGCTGCGTTGGTTTTGGAATGGAGCAGTCGTATCATTGTGGTATGCGATGCCATGTCCGAACGTTTAATTCTTAGTGTACGCACACACTATTCTTCAACAGTCGCTGGCTGTCACTGCTGGATGCTTCCAAGACTATATTTTGTCTACAAAAGGGAAGCCCCCTGAAAGCTTGCGTCTGAGACTGTGCCGTAGCACGACTCCGTTACCATTGCGGGCGTCCGAGTGGCGGGGTGGGAGTTGCCGGCGGTGTCGGCCCTGCCCTGCCCGCTACGGCTTTGACGCCCGCCGGCCGGCGTTCCCGTCCCCCCCCCCCTCCCCCCCCCCTGCGTATCTCCAGGCACCGACCTGGGGCGGCCAGCAGCTCTCCCCGGACCATCGACCCGACCAGGGGACGGGTTGCGACCGCGGCCCAAACCTCCCTCCCCCTCCCCCCTGTTCCTCAAGCGCACCGGGTACAGCCTGCCGTCCCGTCTGGTCACCGGGCAGCGGCACACCTGATCACCAGAACAGAGGTACATCTGATCACTAGGGCAGCGGCACACCAGATCACCAGAGCAGCGGCACATCTGATCACTAGAGCAGCAGCATATCTGATCACTTGAGCAGGGTGCATGTCACGGTGTTATGTTGATCTAGCTTTCTCAAAATCGTCACTGCTTAATGCTGGGAATGGTTTGGGGAGCCGTCGACCCGCTTTTAATTGGTTTGCGGTCGTGTTTGTGATAACCTGGCATTCATATTTGCCTTGTTCCACTAGTTTGCACCACGTCATTATGTTATGCTCGTGCATCGTGCATCGTGCAGATTTAGCGCTGGCCACCTCTACATGCACAGTGCGATCATCGCTGCCAGTCCGTGCTGTCCCAGGGCGTTTGGTCAGTGCGGTCTACGTGTCACGGTCCACGCACCACCCAGCGCGGCACGACACGCGCCGCGCTACTGCTGCCCGACCGAACTGTGGGAGCAGTGCCCGCATCCGTCGATGCGGTGCTCGCCCCGCGCTGGCGCGTGCATGTGTGGGGAACGCTGCTCCGTTGAACGAGGCTTTGAGGGAGACGCAGTCCCGCAGGCAGCGGGTGAGTGGGCTCTCCCGAAGGTAGACTGAATATGACAAAGCGCCGTTTCCGCAGACATCGCGTCTGCTGTTGAAATTCGCCAGCCAGCGTCTCCGTCGGCCTTTCGACTCCGTCTGCTTGCATAATTGCATTCGCTAGGAAGAAGAGTGAACGAAAAAGACGTCTACGTCAACTTTCGACGTTAGTTTTTCAGTATATGTTATTCAAAAGGCTGTCAGCTGATTACCAAATTTTAAGATTTCCAGCTTATGATTCCTCTCAGCTGTCTGTTACTAAACAGAATAAAACAGTTCGTGACTCGGCCTCAAACACTGAACTACAGTCTGTACTTTGCGGCGCACACAGTAAGCTGGACGAGGAATGGAATGGAATGGTAGGCTGGAATGGAATGAAACACAGGAATGGTAGACTGGACGCAGAGCCGCCGCTGCCGCTGCCAACAACTAGACAGCTGACCGCCGTCAGAGGGCGCGGAGCACTGACATCTGTCTTGCCCTGCCTGCCCTGCCTGCTTTTACCGTTCCTCGCTCCGCGTCCGAGGTACAACCGCGCATCGCGCACCTGATGTGAGGAAGTGACCTCGGCGTCACGCCATGACGCCACCTAATGCTGGCTGTGGCGCGGTAACGTGCCGGCGCCCCGCGGCGTGATGACGTCATCTGGCACCGCTGCGATCTTCTGACCTAACGGCGTCCCCTGACGTTACCCGCCGTGACGTTGTGCTGCGATGCTGCCGCCAGGTGTGCAAGAAGCGGGCGCGATACAACACGCTGCGTTCACCGTCGGCGGCCAGCCTGCAGGCGGCCTCGCGCTCCTTCAAGCCCTACAAGCACGTGGAGCTGATGCCGCTGGCGCACATCAAGCGCGTGGTCGACATACGGGAGACGGAGGGTAAGGGCGCGCGCGCCGGCCGCCGCCTGTCCGCCGCCTCCTTCGCCGGAGCCGTCTCGTCATCCTTCGAGTCCGCACCAGGTACCTATCCAGGTCCGCTCCGCGCGCCGCCGCGCAGTCCTGGCCCCTGCTAATGGCCTCTCCCTGTCCAGTCCTGTCTTATCCTGTTTAGCCCTGGCCTGGCGTGCCGGTCCTGGTCTGGACTGACCAGATCTGACCTGACTTGACCTGGCCTGGCCTGGCCTGGCCTGGCCTGGACTAGTCTAGCCTGACCTGACCTGACCTGACCTGACCTGACCCGACCTGACCTGACCTGACCGGACCTGGCCTGACCTGACCGGACCGGACCGGACCTAGCCTGGCGGTGCTGCTCACATCGCCGTGCCGCGCTCTTTCGGAGTTGTGAGGCTTCGTGGCCATGAGACTTGGTGCCGGTTTTCTGCGCAAGGTCAAGGCGAGGTTGTGCAATGGCTAATATTGTTTGGTGTGTGCTCATTGTCTTGAAGTGAATTTAGTTTCTTTAAAGAGAGTGTCCTATCTCGGGGTATATTTCAAGAACGTACTCTAGCATCAATTACGTTCTAGCATCGAAAACCTCAGCATCAATTACGTGTAGTAATAGCACTGGATAGCGCCAATCCAGCACCATCCGGGCATAATATGGATAATGTATTCTGGCATAATTTGTGTTCTTTTTCGAGCCCAAATTTCGCCGCCAACACTTTGTAACAGCACCACGCTTCTTCGTTTCTCTCAGGATGTATCGCGAGTTCGCGATTGCAGTTGTCCAACCACCGTCGTTTTGACGACGGTAGCATCCACTGAAGGCTGTCGTCTGTTACGTGCTAGAGGTACTACTTTTGAGCTGCTTTAACCCGCACATTGCGGCCCTGCGGTCTTAAAAGAGGCGCGTCTGCTGGCGTACGAATGATGTCAGTACAAATGAATGTTTGTGATTGGCGCCACTGGTGGCGAGGGCCAGTTACCGCGAAGCGCATTGGCTAAAGTTTGAATCAGTGCGCCACGACCCCTTGAGCGGCCTCCCGGCTGTTGGCGGCTTCTCCCCGTCGAATCCACTGGTCCAGGACATTCAGTCGCGTCTTAGCTCACTGGATCGAGCAGGAAAAACGGTCGTTCTGTGCTGGATCCCAAGTCACGTGGAGATATGCGGAAATGATCTTGCTGAGGCGGCAGCAAAGCGCGCTACGACAGGCACTAGAATTCCTATAACACCACTACCAGCTCAAGACATGCACCTCGCAGTGTCGTTGTTTATGCAGAAGCGATGGCAGTTCCACTGGAACTCGCTGAGCGCCAACAAGCTGCAGTCCGTGAAATCCCGTATTGGACTATGGCAGTCGTGCTTTCGGGACAATAGGGTGGAAGAAGTTGCCCTTTGCCGGTTACGCATAGATCACATATGCTATGCTACGCCAGGTATCTTGGGATACACTTTGACCGCCGCCTTACATATAACGCACATCTTAAAATGTTACGCGATCGATGCTTTAAATCTCTCAACATACTAAAGTGTGTGTCTCGCACATCGTATGGGGCAGACAGAAGCACGCTTATGCTTTTATATCGTTCCCTCGTCCGCTCCAAACTGGATTATGCATGCTTTGTTTATGATGGCGCGTCTGAATCCAGCAAGCGTGTTCTTGATACCGTCCACCATACTGCCATTCGCATTGCTACTGGGGCGTTTCGCACATCACCTTCCGTCAGCCCTTTAACGGAGGCACACGAACCACCACTTTCGACGAGGAGGAAAATGCTTGGCATGCGTTATGCCTTGAAGCTGCGGCAGTTCCCACTTCACCCGACGTATTCTGCAATATTTTCGCGGTTTGCAGTAAGTTCTCTTCGTCATGGGCCGCAGCAGCACGCTTTAACTTTTGGTTCCCGAATGAGAGCGTTATTGCTTGAGAGCGGAATTCCTGTTCGGGGTGTAAGGCAAGTAAGCCGCCTGGCTTCTCCTCCTTGGCAAATGACCACACCCTTCATTGACACCTCGCTTACGGAAATTAGGAAAAAAGACGTCACACCACACCTATTGAGATCCAGGGCAGTTGAGCTTTTGGCGTGTTATGAAGGATATACCCTGACATACACAGACGGATCCAAAACCTCGGATGGCGTGGGTTGTGCTTTCGTTAGCGGGTCCGTCACTCGATCGTTCTCGTTACCGGCCCACTCGTCAGTTTTTACGGCGGAATTAGTTGCAATCACCAAGGCGATATGTTTCATCGAAGTGGGTGAAGAATCTTCACACGCCATTTTTACAGATTCACTGAGCAGTCTCTCTGCACTGAAGTCTTTTTATCCATCATGTCCCCTTTTACAGGACATTTTATCACGCCTGACAATTGAATCGGGTTGGAAAGAGAGTTGCACTATGCTGGATCCCTAGTCACGTCGGTATCGTGGGCAACGAACTGGCTGATGCCGCTGCTAAGCGAGCAGCGGTAGCACCATATACCCGGTTTTTGCCTATCCCTGCCAGAGATTTTTACCCGGCAGTCAAGACCTTCCTGAGAAGCAGATTGCAGCGCTGTTGGGACCAGGTGGGGGGCAATAAGCTCAGGGCAATAAAGACAGAGTTGGGCTTGTGGTCGTCATGCTCTCGCAGTGTGCGGTGGGAAGAGGTGGTTTTATGCAGGCTGCGCATTGGGCATACCTATGCCACCCATGGCCATCTGTTACATGGAGCCGACAGACCCCTATGCCAGCGGTGTGACCCCTATCCTGACTGTCCATCATGTCATTATATCATGTCCATGCCTCTTCGAAGAACGACGACGTCACTTTGGTTCACAGGCTTCGACCCTGACGATAAACGATGTGCTTGGTGACAGTTCCTCCTTTCTTGGTCCCAAACAGCTCCTTTCGTTTTTAAAAGATATTGATTTTCAAGTCATTTTCACACCGTACTAATTAAGTAACAGCATAGTTATGGGCGCAAAATGACCACTGCAGTCGACGCGCCCGAAAACTCCAATGAACAACAACACATATGCTACGCACTGTCACCTGCTAGTGGCTGGCGACAGACCATGCTGCAGTCGATGCTCTGACCCGCTGACCGTGCATCACGTACTGGTCGCTTGCCGCCACCTTACTGCAACGAGAGCGCAGTTTTTCGGACACCGCGCCCAGAGTCGCACGCTATACGACTTTTTAGGGGATTCTTTGAACGCCGTCGAGTTTGGTAAAGTGTTCCAGTTTCTTCGCGCTATAGATTTCCCAGTAATCTTTTCATCGTGATAATAGGCCTGATCATCAAGGCATTATAGGATGATCTGATTGGTACACTTTTCTGATTGACGGCTCTGCATAAATTTATATTTCTGGGCGCTGCATGACCTACAGCAATCGATGCGCCCTAAAACCCCAAATCATCATCATCGAATCAGTGCGTCAATGTAGGCCATGTGAGACTCCGTTTTCCAAAGCCAAAGTGCATTTCGAAAGGAGCCGCTGTGCTAAATGCCATCTGGGAGAAATTATAGCCATAGTATAACGTTTTGTCGAAATCGCAGGATATGATCCTTATATTCACATATTTTCCTGTAAATAGTGTTTCAAGCTATCTCAGAATTTATTACATAAGCATTCTGACAGACTAGTGTGTGGCAAATATTTGCTGAGCAAATACATCGGGAAAGCAGGGCGAATTAAATTTTATACTTTCATAATTGTGAGCAGGGAGTTCAGTGAGATTTCTCCCGCAGGAGAAACATGCTTGACATCGAAATTTCTGAGCTATACAAAATGATATTGAGAAAATTACTATTACCGGCCACATCGGACGCGTCTAATGTGACAATAAGTGTAAAATGCAAAAAAGGTAGCATGAATCTTTTATCACTCGCCCGAGTGGCTGGTTGATGTGATGCACTCAGGTTTCTGCGGAGACCCTGAGATATCATAAAGTAAGGGAGCTAGATGCACCAAATTCACAGGGTAGGTAGGGCTATATGTTAGTTTGTTTGTGTCAAATCTTCAAGTATTTAGGTCGTGACTTAGGGATCAGAAGGGTCAAACAAGGTCAAACCCCAGATCGAACTCCGAAGTCTTCTCAGACGCCATACAGCCTGCTTCAACCTAGATGCCTCTTATAACCACAAGGCCACTGGTGCTCATATCAGGTCTGTGACCTTATTTCACCTTCAGAAGGCAAAAATCACCCACACTTTCGGAGGTTAATTTGATATTGAAAATTGCCATCGGTTCCAATCACTACCTCAGGCGGCGTGCTCCTCAACGCAAAAGTTGATCGAGACTTTGGTCAGTGACTTCTTGACCTTCGTGAAGCTCTAGCGAGACATATTTTAACGTCCGTGCGACTCAGGAGTTCGAAACAAGCATCAAGAACCGCGCCCAATAATGCAAGTTGTCCAGTAAAAAAGGGTTCTGTTTTAACCTTGATCTGGCATTCATACCTGACCCAAGTTTAATGATGTTAGTTGGAGTCCTAATTCAATTGTCTATCTAAGCAGCCATTTCATAGTTTGGCTTCGCCGAACAGTCCGTTGTGGCATATTGAACCAATCCCGAGTAATTGCGTTCGCTGGAGGTAAGGCCTGACCTTGACCTGCAGGATAGCGGCCCGACGAGGGATATACGTTTTTGATGTAAAAGATTGGCTATTCGATTGCCAGCAGGTACACAATGCTTGGTAAATTCTATTGAAAACACTTGGCGGGGTGAAGTTGACCCCCACCCGGATGTTTGTTAATCCTGGCAGTTGCGTGCCAGGCGTTACGTTACTGCGCATGTGACGGGTATGAAATTCAGGTAATCGCAACCCGACGCTGTTGTTAACAGGGTTTACACAAAAATAGCCGACGGTGGGTCTTGAACCGCCGACCTGGTGGTATCTCATGCCTCCTTGAGCGTCGTGACTCGATCCGGTGATAACGCGAGGTCTTTATTGGATAGCTAATGGAGCGTGTGCCCCCCCCCCCCCCCCCCACACAGCCATCACCACCATCGTG